TTATGAAAACAGTATGGAGTTCCCTGAAAAAATTAAATATGGATCTGCCATTTGACTCAGTGATCCTACTTCTAGGAATATATCCTAAGAAACCTGAAACACCAATCAGAGAGAATATCTTCATTCCTACGTTCATGGCATCACAATTTACAATAGCTCAGATCTGGAAACAGCCCAAGTGCCCGTCAGTAGATGAGTGGATAAAAAAGCTGTGGGACATTTACACCATGGAATACTATGCAGCTGTAAAAGAGCAGGATCTCTCACCCTTTGAGACAGCATGCAGTGTCCTGGAGAGTATTATGCTAAGTTAAATAAGCCAGTCAGAGAAAGACAAGTATCATATGATCTCACTCATCTGTGGACTCTAAAAAACAAAATGAATTGATGAACAAAATAGATTCAGATACATAGAAGCATGGAACAGATACGGAATCCCAGAGGGAAGGAGGCAGTGGGTGTTTGGATGGGAAGAGATTAACCACAGTACTTGTGTGCACATATGCATAACCCATGCACACAGACAATAGGGTGGGGAAGGCCTGGGGCAAGTGGCAGGTGTGGGTTAGAAAGGGTCAATGGTGAAGAAAAAGGGATATTTGTAATACTTCCAACAATAAATATTTTTTAAAAAATATGTGTGTGAGGAGGTCTAGGTGAGACTGTCAACTTGCGGACCAGGACCCACAGCATCAGCATCACCTGGAAGCTTGTTAGAAATGCAGAATCAGAGGCCCCCAGACCTACTGAATCAGAAGCTATAGTTTGACTAGATCCCCTTGTGATTTGCTTGCACATCACAGGTGAGAAGCAGGCCCGAGTCTAGAGGTTAGTCGGGTCTATGTGGTTGACTTTGAGGACAGGTTGTTGTCATTTGTGGCTGATGGTTGTAGATGACACATTTTCAGGGTCCCTACGTAGTTAGGAGACTGGATGTGGTGTCCTTGTATGAATCATCACAGTGATTGTTTAGCATTAACATCACAAAGCTGCACAACATCACACATAAGGAGCCAGCCTGTTGTGAGCAAAATATTTTGTGTGTTTATTACCCTTTCCAAAATGCTATTTGCAGCCATTATCTCAAGAAACAATTTCCCCAAACACCCATGGTAGTTGACTGGAAGAACTAGGCCTGGTACCTGGTGTCAGAACCCTTACTGTTATGTTCTTGTCACTGAGCCATGCTGTGGGGGATGGGGACGCTGCATTGACTTACGTTGTCAGGGCTGGAAATGTGAACAAGCAGAAAAAACATCACAGCAGATGCTGAGTAGATGTTCATAGAAGATGCTCAATGAAGGTTTGTTAAAGGTTGTTGAAACAAATGATGGAAAACATGATAAAAACTACTTTCAGATTTAAAAGATTCATTCTCAATTTGATCTTTCTGACACCTTTCTAAGTCGGTAGGATGAAAATTATTCATCTTCTCATTAAAAAAATAACAGCTTTATTGAGATAAATTAACATACCATAAAATTCACCATTTAAAGTATATAACTCAGGCTTTTTGTATATTCACAAGGTTGTACAACCATCATCACTATCTAATTACAGAACATTTTTATCACCCCAAAAAGAAATGCTATATCCTTTAGCATTACTTCTTAGTCTCTCCTCTCCCATCCCCTGGCAACCACTAATCTACTGTTTTTGTCTCTATGGATTTGCCTGTTCTGGACAATTCATATAAATGGAATCATATAATGCATGCCTTTTTTTGACTGGCTCCTTTCACCTAGAATGTGTTCAAGGATCATCTATATTATAGAAAATATCAATATTTCAACCCTTTTGTGGCTATTAATAATCCAATTCTACGAATATACTATATGTTGTTTATCCATT